CTGGGCAACCCAGTGTTTGGGTTGGTTGTCATTGGAAACAACGCAATCGTTAGTGTCTGGTAAGCATTTATAAATACTAACGCATGAGTGATTTTTAACGTGTGCACACTCTGTTATGAGTGGATTATTATCACTATCATTATTATGTAGCAGAAAATTGCTGCCAATCACAGGCTACTGGAAACACTCTTCCATCTTTCAGTAGTTTGCATGTCTCCAATATGTTTATGATCAAAGTGTGGTTAATGTACTGTTTCCACTGACGAACTGGTCAGCTCTTGATCAGTTTTTCTACGAACTATTTCTTCCACGATTTTTTTTTAAACCATTTAATATGACTAAACTACTTTTGTTTTTGAGACATGATACTGTTTATTGGTCTTTTACTTTCAAAGTTCAAAGTCTTAATTCGTTTATATAACCCACAGTAGTCTAAGAAATTTGCTCATAAACACCATCTTGTCCCAAAATCTGGGGTATTTCGGCCATATTAAACGTCTTGATTGAGAGAAAGGTGAAGAAGGGTAAAGCTTCAGGAAAACGACGTAGAGGCAGACCTCCGCGAAAGTGGATAGACGACACTGAAGATGTATTGGCCACGAAAGCATGTAGGGCTTAAGAATTGGCTTGAGAAAGAAAGAGTTGCAGGCCTGTCGTGAGGAGAGCGACGTTCTGTAAAGGACGTGCTGACTGTCGCGCGCCCACGTGGGTAAATACACTGATATAGTGAGGGTGTGGGTTTGAACCTTAACAATGCCCACCCACGTGAGAAACTGGACTATTATCTAAGCTATGTTGATCCTAGACAGTCCTGGATAGCCAAGAAAACAGCGAGTGGCTCGTTCCATGAAATGAAAGTTGCTGTACTTGTATCCACAGGAGTAGGAGAAGGGATAGATAGATATCAGGATACACCCACTGTGATATTATCTCGATACACAGTTAACCCCTGCGACTATTCTCCTCTCCTGGCATTACTTAAAAGCCCCCATCAAGTGATTTAAATATTTGTTAGCTGAAGTAAACTAATATGCACAAAGACACTTGAACCTAAGTACACAATTTACTCAACTAGGTTTTAACATCAACCATGATTTATTTGAATAAATCGAAATTAAAATGAACTTGTTTAGGCTAGTAGAGTTGAGGGAGTGTGATTGATGACAGTTTGTACATATACTTAACTCCTAGTAGGAGAATTCACCGTCAGGACAGTTCTCGGCTTGAGACCCTGCCTATCTTTTCCAGTTTGTCGTCCTCACTGCTTTCTGCAGGTCGTTACACTCGACGGTCGGCAAATAATGGATGCCTACTAGTCCCTGCCCAATGTGGGAACTGGAGAATGAAGAAACAAGCGCATATTTGTAGTATCTGCTCTAGATGTACACTAAGCATGTATATTATACTAACATCAAGCATGTTTATTTAAATAAAACATTTCATCTCTCCCTCATGCTCACATTCACTCCTGTCCAATTTGGAAGGGCTTATGTCTCACATTCCAACTGTTACATCTTCTGCCTTCCTCTACACGTCCTGTAATGATAGTCAAGTCTTCTACGTCAGGTGCCATCTCTCGTACAGACTCAAAATGACAATCAGTCAGACAGAACCAGTTCTGGAATCTATGCTTGGAACAATCGACGCGCCCAGAAAGCTAACAATATTTCTGAGGCGAATCAAATACCAAATCTTGTGGATTTACTCTCCGGGATCAATCTCCGCATTAGCCTCCCGAGAGTTAAACACATTTCAGTGTGTTAGCTGTATGTAATACAGATTCACATTAACCACACGTGAAAAGATTGCCAAAGTTATCTTCACGCTTGTGATTTCAAAAACATGATAGTTCATTAAATTTCAATGGTAACATCAACATTTAAGTTTTACAACATTGAAACACATGTACACGAAAAACATTCATGACACTATCAAATAGGAAATAAAGCAATGTGACAGTGCCTACGAGAATGAAGAAATGTCCGCCTAGGAGTACTACAAAGTGATGAAGACACACACTTGAGTAAAAAGACAGTTAGAACTCTATCATAAAATATAGATTTGAACCTAATTTCGATCTTACCTGGAAAAATGAAACCACGATGCCAAAAGTTCTGTCTCAAGCTTAGGTTAAGCCCAACAGATGGCATGTGCTAGACAGGATCTCATTTACCAGACCTTAAGTTCACCACTTTATAACTTTTATCAAGCTCCTCCTACATTACGCCTAAAATCATTCTCATTCAGGGATATCACAGCTCCTCCCCTGTGGGTAAGTTTATTCGCTGTCAGTCAGGGCTGTACAACACTTGTTTGAATTCCCACGCTAGGATCTACTGGTTCAATTCATCTGACCAGAGCAAATAAGACAAGTCACACCTCAGTCTACTTCACCTGTCATCACAATAAAATCCGACTTTGTCAATTCTTCTGCCAACACTTTCCGCTCACTGTGTCAATAGTGACCGTCGGACCTGCCGTCGAGTTAGGTAACCTCAGGGGGAGATAATGGCAATTAGCCCTTGTTATCTGTTCCTGAAGGTCTGGCTAGGAGATAAATATCTGACACCAACAAATGGTGTGCAAATCTCCAGTCAGTAAGTCTGCTTGGTCAGTCTTATCTCTGTACCTCAACACTTAACGTCTGGGAAAAAGTTTTAGTGTTTGATATGACCAACGGTCCAGGAGAATTAAAGGTGTGATGTGGTCGTCTTACTTAGATTAAGGATGTATCCAAATCCCTATTTGTCTGTATACTTCAAAATACATAGGAATAAAAGTAGGTTAAGGAAAGACATTCTGGAGTCACCGAGCGTATTGTCACAGAGCCTCCCCCTTAAGTTCGGTCACCCTGACCGCACATCTGCACGCTCTGTGGCTTCCAAGAATTTCAAGTCCTCCTTAGCATAACTGCCCATAAGTTTTCTGTTTCCAGTATTCTTTATGGCAGTGGGAAGATCTGCACTCATTTGCAGACATCCCGTGTCCTATCATCCAGGATAATTCAACACCGTCATTGATCCTGGTAATGAGCGGGTATTCCAAGCAGTCGCTCGGCAATGTCCCTTTGTCCGGAGGTTTCTCCTTCTATCGGAAAATCAAATATCCATGCTTTGTCAACGGGCCTCCTCTGCGCCGTTGACTGACCACCTCTGTGCGTTTCCTCACTTCGCCGCGCCCTATCTGCCTAGGGAGAGCCTGAAGTGTTCTACTAAAATGATTAGTTGCAGTCAGGTTGGATCCTCTTTTCCTCCGTCCACAGATCCTTGAAAAATCTGTTACAAATCTCCTCTTAAAACGAGGGATATCTTCACTCATCGTGATCCCACGAAGTGAGTGCCACTTACCACTAACAATTTCTCTGAAGAGTGTCCATTTGTTGCCTCTTCGGTGCATTCTGTCTTTACCTTGCCAAATTGTCAGGGTGGAATTGTCTTTAACAAAGATCAGTCCAGAGTCAGAGCACGAAATCAAGTCAGGGAGTTCAGACGAATCATAAGAAAACTCAGGGTTTCCTGTAGACTGTAAGGTGGGATTTCTTCGCAATGAAGTTTCCACCACCAGCTGAGATACTCCTGTCACTTCCTTCGAAGCAAGGAGTACTACAAGACCAGAATGTTGGGATTCCCTACTACTCACGGCTTGTTCCACTTCAGGGTCCTTCATCAGAAGTATCCCTGTCGCCCCAGCTGTACAAGATAGAGATATGTTTTCTCCCTGCTCAGAAGAAGTATTTTCTTCTTCGATAATGGTAAACACTTCTGTCTGTCCATTATCAGAGCGCACAGGACTAGCAAAATTGCCCTGTTTACGTGGAGTCTCTAAGATCGTCAATACGTCCAGAGAACTCTCCTCCTCATCTGCTATTCTCACCTTGGTCTGGCTTTCATATGCACAGTCCAGTGAAAGCAAATCAGGAGGTGTGTTGCCGCCATCGCAGTCAACTCCTTTGGGTGCAAAGTCAGAACTAACACATTCCATTGGGCATGCGGCTGCATCCCAGGAAATAGGGGACACAGGTTCCGTGTTATTCCCTACATCAGTCTGCTTTAATTCCTCTTCTTGTTTGAAGAGACCAAAGGGGATATGGGAGTTGGGTAAGTCTTTGCCCTCGTCCTCATTAATGTCTGGTGTGTCAGTCGAACCGCTATGTCTACGGTTACAACCGTTATCACGCTTGTCACTACTGTCAGGTTCGCTCTCATTTATTTCGTCTGAGGTAATGGGAGTAAGGGGTTCTAGCAATGTAGATCTGGTCCCTTTAGAAGATTTCTGCTTCTTGTTCTCTCTTTTCCTTTTAGGCTTAAGAATGGAAGTTAAGGGGTCCAGCAATGTAGATCTGGTTATTCCTAAAGAAGAGTTCTCCTTGTTGCCTCTTTTCTCTGTAGGAATAAGAGGTGTGAGATACTGTCCTTCGGTTTTTATGTTTTCTTCCTTAGCTGTTGGGGTTGGCCAAGGAGTGCACACCACAGTGTCTAGATAGTGGGCCCCCACCATATCTGCTTGAGTTTCAGCCTGAGGTATTGGTTTTTCCTCGCATATACTCGCAGTTTCCTCAACGCTAATGTTTTCTGCTTGCTGTTTTATCCTATCTTTTTCTGCCCTCTCAAGTAGCAGTTTCCGATGAATATCTTCACTCTTACGCCGCATCCTTTCAGCAAATCCTTCCTGAATACACTCTATCTCTCTTTCTTATTTTTTCTCTTATAAGCTGTATGTCTCTTTCATACTCTTCTTTCCTTAGCTGTTCCTCTCTTTCATACTCTTCTTTCCTAAGCTGTTCCTGCCTATTATATTCTTCTAGCTCCAACTGGCGCTTTTTCTCTGCAGCATTACGGGCAACCATATAATCAAAAGTATCCATCTGGCATTTAATATATGTTTCTAACTGTGCCCCTACTCTACCCTCAGCTATCCCGAATTTCCTTACATCTTTTTGGTACTCGGTACGTAAGTCCATTCTATCTATCAGGTCTATCCAGAGATTGTTGTTGTTGTTGTTATCGATCCAGCGGCGCATGAGCTTTCGCCCTTTGGCCCAATGCCATGTAGTGGAATTTGCATGTTTTCACAAGCTGTTCTTTTCCTCCGTACAAGGTGTTCCACTTGTCTGGTCTCGGAGGGAGTAGCGTTCTTCTTGTCTCACTGAGTTTTGGGCACTCAAAGAGATGGTGTTCAACAGTTTCGTAGGGGTAGTTACATAGCTGGCACTCTGGGGAGTGTTGTGGCTGTATTCTGTTTAGGTGTCCATTGAGTGGAGTATGTTGCGTTCTAAGTCTGAAGATGGTGGCCTGGTCCCTTCTTGTTAGATGGTTAATGCTGTCATTAGGATCAGGGCCAGACATATGTCTATAAACCTCTCTTCCAGTGTCTCCCATGGCCCATCTGTTCAACCAAGTCTCTTTGTTTATAGCTCTTATCAGTGTTTTTGCTGTCTGGAGGGTTGTCGCTGTAGGTGGTTGTTCTTGTGTTGCTCCTTTCTTTGCCAATCTGTCAGCTCTGTCATTACCTGGTGTGCCGGAGTGACCTGGAATCCACTGCATCACTATTCTGATGTTGTATGAGGTAATAAGCTGATCGGCATCCAGGATTATCTTGGCTATGTCAGTTCTGCAGCGTTCATTGCCCTCCAGAGCTTGAAGGGCAGACATTGAATCTGTGAAGATGACAATATTTTGGACCTTTGAGGGGTAAACATCCATTACAGTCTTTAGGTGGTATACGGCTGTTTCCAGTGCAATTATTTCAGCTTCATAGTTTGAACAGAATTCCCCGCATGCATCAAAAATCTCTTCAACAGATCCATCGGGATAACCTATGTAGATTCCGTAACCTGCTTTAATGGTAGCTTTAAATGCTGATCCATCAGTATAGACATGTATCCATTCTTGGGGGTAAGAATCAACAGTCTTTAGTGATGAGTTCATAAGAGCGATTGGGTCGGACTGTTTGGTTTCCTCGCCTACCAATTTAGTTTGGACTTCTGGAGCTTTAAAGCGAGCATGTGGTGGTAGGTTTTTTTGCACATTCTGAATTCCTTGACGTCTTTCTGGGAGGTGGTATCTGTCCTGAATTTCATTAACACAGTGTAAAACCGATTTGTGCTTTATTCTTTGTTTGGATTCCCAGTTTTCTACAAGATGTCTATTAGGATGGTTACGATTTTTCCTAACGCATCTTTCATAAATTTCTAAAGTGGCTTTTTCTCTCCGCAACCCGAGGGGTTCCACATTTGTATGGATTTCACATGCAGCAGTTGGTGTAGACTGCATAGCTCCGCAGATTAATCAGAGGGCATTATTTTGTACTCTGTCAAGAGTCTCTAGGTTAGTTTTGGAACAAGTTGTAAGCAGTGAGTTGTTGTACTCTATCACAGAGCGAACATATCCTAGGTATAAGCCCCTCAGAGTTTCCTTGTCTGATCCCCATGATGTACCTGCAAGTCTCTTTAATAACTGTAACCGCCTCAATGCCTTATTCCTGATGTTTTCAATATGGTTCTTGAGGCTGAGCTGCGGGTCAAGTGTGACTCCAAGGTATGTGGGATGCTCTTCTTTCATCACTTGGTGTTTGTCTAACCTCAGGTTAATATTCTTCCTTGCTACTTGGTGGCTTTTGGTAAAGATTGTGTAGACCGTCTTTGCACAGTTAATCTTGAGTTTCCATCTTTGGCAGTAATCATGCAGTCTTCTAAGGTCTCCATTCAGTCTTTGGGCTCCACTTTCCACATTTTCATGACTCTGCCATATTGCTAGGTCATCAGCGTACAAGGCTTTTTCAGCCTTGATTTGTTCTGGCAGGTCATTGATAAAGATTAGGAATAGTGTACAGCTCAATGATGAGCCTTGTGGCAAGCCCTCCTCCAAGACTTCTTTAGAAGAGATTGCGTTGTGCATCTTAGTCTGGATTGTTCTATCTATCAGGAAGTATTTCACCCAGTTATACAATCTGCCATGTATTCCTATGCTCATCATCTTCATCAGGAGACCTTTTCTCCATACTCTGTCATAGGCCTGCTGAAGGTCGACAAAGACTGCCACTGTGTGTTTCTTATTCTGGAAGCCATCATGTATTCTTTGTGTCAGTCTGAACAGCTGGTCTTCTGTGCAGCTGTTGGTTCTGAAGCCTGCCTGTTCATGGCATAGAGCACCAGAACTCTCAAGGAACCAATATAAGCGCCTGTTTATCATTCTTTCTGCAACTTTGCCCAAGCATGATGTTAAGGATATCGGGCGGTAGCTTTTGGGGTCATCTGGAGGCTTTTTGGTTTTAAGGATGGGGACGATATATGCATTCCTCCATGCCCTTGGAAGTTTGCTTGACCTCCAAGTTTTATTAATAAGCCTGAGAACTACTTCTCTCCCAGACCGGCCAAGATGTAGCAGCATTTCGTTGTGGATCTTATCTGGGCCTGGAGATTTTCTAGGTTTTAATTTCTTCAGGGCTTGCTCTAATTCATCCATGCTAAATTCATTTTCAAAAAGGGAGTCGCTGGCTGTTGGAGCTCTCTCTTGTTTCTTCAACTGAGAGAGCTGTGTTCTATCGAGTTCTGACAGCTTACCTGCTCTGTTAACCGAGGCAAAATAATGATTGAAATGTTCTGCTTTCTTCTTGTCTTCAGTGATTGTCTTACTCCCATCTGTCACTGGTTTTGGGTTCACCCTTCTACTTTCTCCGGAGAGGTTTTTAACTAAAGTCCATGCTTTATTTCCATTCTGTCTAAGGTCTAAGTTGGAGCAAGTTTCTGTCCATTTATCTCTTTTAGCCTTATTAACTACAAGCTTTACTCTGGCACATGCTTTATTGTATTGGATCTTTGCTTCTGTTGAACGTGCAGTTTCGAGAAATATTCTTGCTTTATTCCTTTCAGATATAGTATTTTGAATTTCTTGATTCCAAAAAGGTTTATATGCCTTCCGGCTGCCCCTTGGGATGGCTTTCGACGCTGCATTCAGGATTGCTTGTGTTATGTCTTCACAAAAAGTTTCCACACAGCTGTTGTCAATTCTTCCCAGGAGGCAGTCAGATGTTTCCTGAAATAGTTTCCAGTTTGCTTTTCGGAAATTCCAACGAGTTCTCTGCTTGAAGCGTAATTTAGGGGTGGTGCTTACAGTTGTGAGTATAGGTTTGTGGTCACTTCCTATGTCGTCCAGGACTTGGGGATAGCTTGCGTCTGCTAAGTCGGATGAGCAGATGGTCAGGTCTGGTCTGCTGAGAGATAGGTGGGCCCTGTGTAACAGTGTAGGTGTAGACTCTGTGTCCTGCAGCACTAATAGGTTAGTTGTTTCACAAGTATCTTCGATGTACTTCCCTGTGCTATTGTAGTCAGGGTAACCCCAACGTGGCGAGTGTCCGTTGAAGTCACCAACAAGAAGGGTTTTATGGTACTGTGTCTTGTATAGTTCTGGTATGTTGCATGTTGTCTGGGGTGGGCTGTACACGTTGTATATCGTGTATTTGCTTCCATTGTGCCAGATAGTTATTTTTTGCACATCTGTAGGGTGAGATGTCGACAGCATTGTTACATCTCCTTGTATGTCATTTCTGATATAGGTCACTATGCCCCGGCAGTCATTGCACTTACAGGCATAACTAGTATATCCAGTGAGATGCAGATCAGAGTCTTTATGCAGGGTTTCTTGTAGGGCAGCCACGTGTACCCTGTGGTTGTTTAGCAGTTTGGCAAGTTCAAGTTTCTTATTTCTTATTCCACAGATGTTCAGCTGCAGAATATTGAGCATCTGTGTATTTTTTGCTGTGCTGTCTGAGTTCTTTTTGCTCTCCCTCCCACTCTTCCTCCTCCTGGGGTGTCTGTTTTCCCTATTTATTTCAAATTTTCCAGTAGCCAATTTTTCGCACATGACAGCCTGGTTTCCCACTGTCTGGCGCGGGCCTTGATAGACGAGGCGACGACCGATCTCGTATGTATTCTTAAATTTTGACATATTCATGGCATTGTGGTGCTGGGGTGTCTGTGGATTACCTACCTCCCCGGGCAGCAGCTAGAAATGCCCTGTACCAGTTCTAAAGGAAATATGGGTTGTGTTTCTGCCTTTCCCTTTAACACGTAGCTAAGGTGGGGCTCACAGTGTGCTCATTCCCCGCCACCAGATTGCCTGCAGGTTTCGCTGAGCTCTTCATGTCTCTAAGCATGGCCTAAGCATGAGTAGTTGGGGCAACTGGATCGTCACGTCCTGAGTCCCTGTGCCTTCACGATAATTTCCGGTATTCAGGGGGGTTAGCATACTTGTTTCCATTCCTAAGACTGTTCAGCACACCTCTGGCTCCTTCCCTCCCACAGGGGGCAGTACGGTGTGGTGCACCGGGTTTATTATCGAGGTTTGCTCCTCTAGATCCATTGTGTTTTGCCTGGGGATTCGCACCCCCAGTTACCGGGACTACCTCGGGGAGGCTGTGACTCTTCGCCACGCACAATGGTCTTGAGGTAAGAGAGGTTTTGCTAGGTCAAGAGGCTGACACCACAATGGACGCTCCTTTCGTGAACAGATATTCACTAGACCTAGGGTGAAGTAAGGGGGGGAACCCACTACCCACAACACCAACACTTCTTACCCCCTGCCTCTCGAGGCTCAGTCCCCTATCCAGAGATAAATATGATAATCCCTCGAGTCAGGATAAGAAGGATATGTCAGAACAAAGTACAGTGAACTGGGCACCAGAGTAGACTATGACAGCCGCACAAAGATGTATATGATGCAAAGCAGCCTACCAGGATAACAGCCTATAGAATACTATAGCAGCAAAAGGATAAGCCTATCAATGATCAAAGCGATGTTACACTCAGTCACTAATTATTAATCTCAATGATATGATGTCAGCATGTAATATGTTCTACAATCTATATCAAATGAAATATGCAAGCAAAAAAAAATCATCAATTCATCAACTCTAACTAAGCACTATAGATTAAACATTGATCAATGTTCATGAAATGTTCAATGATAGACAGTTAACTCATATGATTTCATCAATTAATTACTTTTACAGTTATCATAATTCTAATCTTTCCAGTTACCAATTACTAAGTATGATTTTAGTCTAAGAACTGGGTGAAGAGTTAAAATGAAATCTATGAAATTAAACCTTTTATTCGTTAGTCTAGGGTCTGCCGGGTTTGATCGCTGGCGGGACGCCACTTGTGTCAGGTTTTAATTTAGAGAGCGACACAATTGTTACGTGATGTTATAAACCCCGAGACGAGATACCCAATTGTCGCGCGCCCACGTGGGTAAATACACTGATATAGTGAGGGTGTGGGTTTGAACCTTAACAATGCCCACCCACGTGAGAAACTGGACTATTATCTAAGCTATGTTGATCTTAGACAGTCCTGGATAGCCAAGAAAACAGCGTGTGGCTCGTTCCATGAAATAAAAGTATCCACAGGAGAAGGAGAAGGGATAGATAGATATCTGGATAAACCCACTGTGATATAATCCAGGTGCTCAGTTAACCCCTGCGACTGGTCTCCTCTCCTGGCATTGCTTAAAAGCCCCGATCAAGTGATTTAAATATTTGTTAGCTGAAGTAAACTAATATGCACAAAGACACTTGAACCTAAGTACACAATTTACTCAACTATGTTGTAACAACATCAAAAAGATTTATTTAATAAATCTGACTAAAATAAAATGAACTTGTTTAGGCTAGTAGAGTTGGGATGATGTTATAGATGACATTAAAGTTGTACATAACTTAGCTTCTAGTTTCTAGTAGGAGAATTCACCGTCAGGACAGTTCTCGGCTTGAGACCCTGCCTATCTTTTCCAGTTTGTCGTCCTCACTGCTTTCTGCAGGTCGTTACACTCGACGGTCGGCAAATAATGGATGCCTACTAGTCCCTGCCCAATGTGGGAACTGAAGAATGAAGAAACAAGCGCATATTTGTAGTATCTGCTCTAGATGTAAACTAAGCATGTATATTATACTAACATCAAGCATGTTTATTTAAATAAAACATTTCATCTCTCCCTCATGCTCACATTCACTCCTGTCCAATTTGGAAGGGCTTATGTCTCACATTCCAACTGTTACATATTCTGCCTTCCTCTACACGAGTCCTGTAATGATAGTCAAGTCTTCTACGTCAGATGCCATCTCTCGTACCGACTCAAATGACAATCAGTCAGACAGAACCAGTTCTGGAATCTATGCTTGGAACAATCGACGCGCCCAGAAAGCTAACAATATTTCTGAGGCGAATCAAATAACAAATCTTGTGGATTTACTCTCCGGGATCAATCTCCGCATTAGCCTCCCGAGAGTTAAACACATTTCAGTGTGTTAGCTGTGTGTAATACAGATTCCCATTAACCACACGTGAAAAGATTGCCAAAGTTATCTTCACGGTTGTGATTTCAAAAACATGATAGTTCATTAAATTCCAATGGTAACATCAACATTTAGGTTTTACAACATTGAAACACATGTGTACAAAAAAAAACATCATGACACTATCAAATAGGATATAAAGCAATGTGACAGTGCCCTACGAGAATGAAGAAATGTCCGCCTAGGAGTACTACAAAGTGATGAAGACACACACTTGAGTAAAAAGACAGTTAGATTTCTATCACAAAATATAGATTTGAACCTAATTTCGATCTTACCTGGAAAATGAAACCACGATGCCAAAAGTTCTGTCTCAAGCTTAGGTTAAGCCCAACAGATGGCATGTGCTGGACAGGATCTCATTTACCAGACCTAGAGTTCACCACTTTATAACTTTTATCAAGCTCCTCCTACATTACGCCTAAAATCATTCTCATTCAAGGATATCACAGCTCCTCCCAGTGGGTAAGTTTATTCGCTGTCAGTCAGGGCTGTACAACCCTTGTTTAAATTCCCACGGTCACCTTCTACAGGTTCAATTAAGCTGGTCAAAGCTAATAGGCCAAGTCACACCTCCAGTCTACTTCACCTGTCATCACAATAAAATCCGACTTTGTCAATTCTTCTGCCTACACTTTCAGCTCACTGTGTCAATATTGACGATATGACCGGCACTCCAGGTTAGGTAACCTCAGGGGGAGATAATGGCAATTAGCCCTTGTTATCTGCACCTGAAGGTCTGGCTAGGATATAAATATCTGACACCAACAAATGGTGTTCAAATCTCCAGTCAGTAAGTCTGCTTGGTCAGTCTTATCTCTGTACCTCAACACTTAACGTCTGGGAAAAAGTTTTAGTGTTTGATATGACCAACGGTCCAGGAGAATTAAAGGTTTGATGTGGTCGTCTTACTTAGATTAAGGATATATCCAAAACCATTTATTTCGGTATACTTCGAAACACAAAGGAATAAAAGTAGGTTAAGGAAAGACATTCTGGAGTCACCGAGCGTATTGTCACAGGCAGACATCAGTGAAGATAAGGACATGCTTCTATAGGTTAGGTCATGTCAATAGCAATGTAATTTGTGACTCTGTCCATTTGGATGTTTTTTTTCTATATGTTTTTAGATATTTGTTTACTCTGTTCTGGATGTTTTTTGTCAAAGAAAAGTGGCAGCATTGGTCCTTTAGGAACAGAGCTGCAACTTACATTAGGCTGGTGTACCAAATGCCTTCTCCAGATTGGGACATGGGGCAGACGTTATCAGCCTGACGTGACGTCACCACCCCTGGGCAAACGATACGTTCCGTTTTCATTCTGACGACAGTACGATTTTTTCCGGTGTGTTCCCGGCCGTCCCCTGAATACACCTCCCCTCTCCCCCCCCCCCACCCCCCACCCCCAATATAGGAATAAGCTCCAAGAATAGATCATGTATATTGGTATCTACACATTTACAAACTAAAAGGGAACACTTGGATGTCTCATTTTTAGCCCACACTATAAGAACATGGAAACAGAAACTAAGAGATTTTAGCTGCAGAATGTCCCATAATGTAGTCCCAGTAAATTAGTAAGTGAAATTACCCAGCTTTCTCTTCTTGGATGATTTATCCAGCAAGGATGTATAGTTTTGGACTTTTCTATCGTTAATTAAGAAAATATTTACCAGAGATATCAGTGGTTTGGAAGCAATGTTTACTTTAGGACAACCCTCACCACAAACACCACCCATTTCATCATTGAAATATACGTGTAAATTGCATGAAATAGTGTGCATAAGTAATAATTTTTTTTTTTTTTTAGGTGTTGGTGTTTGGAAGCTAGAAATGTTGTTGTTAACTCAGATAACATAAGCTTCTGTATAGCTGCATATTTCAAATTTCCACAGTCAAGCAGCTGTATCAACATCATATGATAATGACCTGTGCATATACATTAAAGCCTTGTATGAAGCACACACAATTTTTTGTCCAGCTTACCAGAGACACGTCTGGAGAAAGCTGTTGTGCAGCCGTTAACGTGTGTCCTAATTATAACGCCTTTAGATGTTAAATGGGGATAAGTCAGATCTACCCTGTTGGTCTCCCATCCACAGTTGGGATTTATTTTTAAATCTTAGGGTGGTAAACCTTCAGGTAACAGCCCCGATGTGACAAACCGATTAATCAGGTTCTTCTTCTTCTTCAGCATTCCGAGCCCGTGAGGTTCATTGCGGCAGATATGACCCGCCTCCATTAATGTCCCTGGCTAGCCTTCTATTTCCAGTTGGTGACACCAAGTGTTTGCAGGTCTGTCTGGATATTATCTCTCCATCGTCTTCTTGGTCTGCCTCGTGATGATTAATCAGGTTAGAGTTGTATTATGTTTACCTGCTAATGGTACCAGTTGCAACTTGATTAAAAGTCTTAAAGTCCGCCTCTGTTTTCGCCTTCAATGTTAAATATCTTCCAGTTTCCCTATCTGTTCTTTTGCACTGTCGATTTGATCCAATTGTGCCTTCACCACATCCGCTTTATCATGTAGTAGCTCACCACCCGAAGGAGCGGCAGCAGTTAATCTAACAGCCTTTTGGTTACCTGGCACACCTGAAGTT